TTGCATGATATGAAAACTTAGCAGTCACTTTTTCTTAACATTTCTTCTTTGTGTTGATTGTCATTTGTTTCCAGGCATGACAACCATGCAGAATTGTATGCTGTCATCAATACTCTCCAGTGTTTAGAGAAGATGTACATAAAAGTTTGTATACTTGCTAATTTTGTGTGACGTTTAGTATATACATAATAAACCTATAAGGTTCAGAAGTAATTTGAATTTGCTTTAATAGATAAAGAGAATTTTGTTAAGTATCTTCACCCCTTTTTATGATGTTTTTCATAGTGCCTAATTATCATCTTTTGTAAATTATATATTCACTATTGTGTATTTTCATGAATCAAAAATATACTTTAATGCTCTGATAAAGATTTTGGACATTATGAGTTCGGATTGCTGCTAATGGCCCCAATATTTCTTGCAGGATGTGGTGCCCCCCAAAGAATACACAGCTTGGTGTAGTAAGCTTCTTGTGCAGTATAAGGCCGCCTTTAAACTGGTCCAGTGTGATGATTACCCTACCGTTGAGGCCTTTGTGAAGAAGTATAAGGTAAGAGGGTTGGTAGGTTTTTGGTTGTTTGAATGTGAAGTGTTGGAGGTATAGATGGTTCGAGGTGAAGAGCAGTTAAATTGAAGAGGGTTTGATGCTGTCTTCTTTTACTTCTTCTTTCTCTTGATCCTTCTCTTTCTCCTTTTCTTCTTTCTCTTTCTCCCTGTTCTCTTTTTTTCTTCTTCTTCTCTTTCTGTCTCTCTATATCTTATTTTCATACACTTTCTCTTCCTCCTCTTCCTTTACCTCCTCCTCCTCCTGTATTCATTCTCCTATCCTTCTCTCCTCCTCCTTCTTTTTCTTCTCCTTTTCCTTCTTCTCCTCCTTTTCCTTCTTCTCCTTTTCCTTCTTCTTCTTTTCCTTCTTCTTCTTCTTCTTCTTCTTCTTCTTCTTCTTCTTCTTCTTCTTCTTCTTCCTCCTCTTCTCCTTCTTCTTCTCCTCCTTCTTCCTCTTCCTCTATCTCTTCCTCTTCTCTCTTCCTCCTCCTCCTCCTCCTATTATTATTATCCTTCCTTTTTTTTTTAGCTCGATTGTCCGGCAGCCCTTGACCGAATTCGTGAGGATAGACCAATTACAATCAAGGACGACAAGGGCAACACGAGCAAGTGCATCGCTGACATTGTTTCGGTAAGTTGATTTGTCCACGGCTTATACGCTCGAGTTTGATAGAAGGGAGTTGCGCGATCAAGAAACGTGTCATACGGTTTCAAATTTAGTTGTTCAAGAAGGCAAGAGCAAGTGAATGAGTACTGTATGTGTGTGTGTGTGTGTGTGTTTGTTTGTTTGAGTGTTTGTCTCTCATTTATTTATTTGTGTGTACGTGAGTGGGTGCTTGTTGGGGAAGGAAAGTGTGATCTGAACTAGATCCTGTGCAAGAAGAAAATTTCATGATTAACCCATTGTCAACATGTTTCCCATCACTACTGATCCGTTGCCACGTTGCGCCGCTTCTAAATTATCCGATCTTCCGTTCAACAGCTCTTCATCACCGTCATGGACAAGCTTCGACTCGGGATCAATGCAAATGACGAGCTGCAGCCAGACCTCAAGGACCTGATGGAAAACATGACTCGTCTCTCGGTTCTTCCGCAGGTGAGAGAATTGAGTATTTATATTTGAGATTAGTTGTAGTAAGTAGAAGTATTGAGTAGTAGTAGTAAGTAGTAGTAGAAGTAGGAGTAGTAGTAAATAGAAGTATCAAATAGTAGTAGTATTAGTAGTAAGTTGTAGTAGTAAATAGTAGTAGTAAGTAGTAGTAGTAGTAGTAATCATGTTTGTGGTATATTACTATGATTTGTATTGATAGCAATTCTTGATTATGAAGATGATTATTGTTATTGTTGTTTAATGGTTAAAACAAATCAATGCATTAGACCTCAAAAGTCATATGATAAAGTATTGTGGCAAAAAGTATAAAAATGAGTTTACAGTTAGGATAAGTGGACAGAAGGGAATAAAGAAGAGAAGGAAAAGGAAAGAAAAAAAAAGACTGTGCAAAATTAGTCGAGGCGAGGGCTGAGGTGAGGTGATCCCCTACATTGGGCCTCAGTCCCCACCTACAAGCAAGGGATTAGCGGGTATTGTTGTTGGTATTATGATGATGATGATGTAGGTATTATTTTTAGCTAAAGGAAACAGATATGTTGATGTCAAATATTTCAAAAAATATCTGTCAGTGGAGAAAACACGACAGTTATTTGTGACCTTCAAAAGTAACTTTCTCCTCTCTTACCCAAGAAACAGAACCTAATGGACTATGTATTGTTATTGCTTGTTTGTAAGCTTCAGCATGCTGTTTTCGGTTTGTACGTGAAGAACAGAACCCAATACATTTTGCTTTCTCCCCTTCAGGATTTCGAAGGCAAGGCTAAGGTGAAGGAGTGGATCAGCACGCTGGAAGGGATGACGGCGGATGAAACCCTCTCCGAAACGCAAGTGCGGCAGATGATCTTCGACCTGGAGTCTGCGTACAATGCATTCAACAGACTGCTCCAGCATACATAATCTGGCTGTCGACTTGGCGTAGATGTTAAGAGTTACCATTGTATAGGAAATATCCAAGTGGTTGTTATATTGCCAACATCCCAGTGGGCTGTAATTTACACTGAAAATCGACTGGGATCCTCCTTCAGCTTCGCAAGTAGTTTTTAGGGCGAGGTTACGAGTCTTTCTCCTTTTCTTCTCTCTCTCTCTCCTTTATGTACATAACCATGTTTTTCCCCTCTCCCCCCCACTTCCTCATAGATAATGTATAAGAAAACCATAAGAGGACTCAGTTAATAATGGCCAGCACTGTATTACAGAACCCCTCCTTAGTTTTGTCAAATTCATGGGCATAGTGACATTGTTTGCCATTTCCTGTCATTGTATAGATGCATCACCATTCCTCATTGAGAGTTATAGGTCAGAGCTTGTTCATCTTTTAGCCAGGGAGATAGTTGAGTTTCTAAGATAAAGAGTTAGTGAAGAAAGAAGACAAATATTTTGTTAGAAACAAAACGAATACATAGATCCCAGATTTCAATTTATAAATTCAATTTATTAATCGGATTGAAGATGTTATTGATAGCATTAATTGACCTGCAATTAACCTCTTCAGTAGAGTAGGTCGAATCTGCTGCCCTTCTTTCAGGTTATAACTTGACGTGTTGATTCTGTATTTATTCTCCATACTGCGTGTTTCAGACTAGTCGCAGGTCTTCTAGAGTTTTTTCTATAACCCCCCCCCCCTTCCCCTCCCCAAGTAGGAGTTCAGAGTAAACTTATTTATTTTTTACTTGGAAAAAATTATTTGGATTTAAATAGTTCAATCTGAACATGAAAAGTACTAAGATAATTATATATATTTGTTGCATTTAAATATGCCTTATTATGCCTTTGTGGTGCATATTATCTTGTATTATTTCCAGCTTCACATATATTAGAGACTGTTTAAAATCTTTTGAATATTGTCATTGTAGATTTTAAGTTCATGATGTATAACTTCATGATGTTAATATTTGATATAATTGGTATTATTGCCCTCGTATAATTGTGCAATAATTGACTTTTTTTTTTTAGAATTGATTTATACCATACAGTTTAAAAATAAAATGAACATTTTACATGTGTTTTCAATAGAAATTGGTTTCCTCTACTACAATTAGTCAGAGAAAATATCCTTTTGAGAATTCTTTACAATACCCCCCCCCCAATCCCATGACTATTATCATGGGGGGGGGGGGGGGGCAACATTGGAGACTGGGACTGAAGCCCAATGTTGGGGATTGCCTCCACCTTGGGCCTCAGCCTGTGGCTCAACCAATTTTGCATATTTTCTTCTCTTCTCCATCTCCTGTCCACTTCCTAAGGTGTAAGAGCTATGCTGTGAAAAGATGAAAGGCAGGCTTGTGCCAGTCCGGAACAGCCTCAAGGAGCTATGGGCGTGGTATTCCTTTAATCAATTATCTAGTCCTTGACCCTCATGGGGACTCTGAGGGGTAGGCGGTTTCTTATCCTAATCGTTAATTAATCTTTGCCTTTTTCACCACAACATTGTAGTAAAAATTATCCATTAACCATTTACAATAATGTTTATGTTTGTTTTAGAATAATACAAATATAGTCCATTGATCATTAATATAAAATAAATAGAAGAGAATTGCCTTCCCTCTCTTATTTATTTGTTTACTGAAAATTTTCTGTTGCATCAACATCCAAGGTCATTAGCAGCATATTCAAAATACAGCAATAAGGTGGAGTTTGGTGGTGTAGCCCCCAAGTATAGTACTATGATAAAGTATTGTACCAAAAAAGGGTAAAACTGAGTTAACAATTGGGAGATAGAATGGGATGATGAATAGAAGGAAAGGAAAGGGGGAGAAGAAAATACCACACAAACTTTGAGGCGAGGGCTGAGGTCCAAGGCAGCCCCGATCCCATAAGCTGGAGCCTGAGGGCCAGTGTAGGGATCCCCTCAACCTTGGACTTCAACCCTAGCCGCAACTAATTTTGCAGGGTCTTTTCTCCTCCCACTTTCCTTTTCCATCTCTTCATCCCCTTCTGTCCACTTATCCTGATTGTTAGCTCATTTTTACCCTTTATGCCTCAGTACTTTGCTATAGTGCTATATGACGCTTTGATGTCTAGCACTTTTATTTGTTTTAATCATTATTATATCCAAGGCGGTGGTTATCCTCAACATTGGGCCTCAGTCTCCATCTCCTAAGCCCCCCATGACAACAAAAAGCAAGGGATTGGAGAGTTCCCTGTTACTCAGTCCCAGTCCCTATCACGTTTTATTCCCCCCATGTGCACATATGCATAAGTACCTGTGTTGATCCAGGCGTCTGTGTGTACATTATGCATGTGCATATTTGCGTGCGTTTGCTTGTGTTCATGTATATGTGCATCAAACTATTGTCTGTGTTGTTCATGTCCACAGGAAATAGTTCCCCAGAATGGCTCTTACATGAACTACTAAGAGATCTCTTCCTTAAACTTGCACCAAGTAAACAAAGTAAATAAGTAATATACATGTAGACCTGTGTGAACATGCTCACATTATACTCCAAACACAATCACCAGTCTATGAAGTACTAAGGAGAAATAGCATATAATTGATGTACCTTATATGTAGATGTCAACTTCCCTGTAATATATCAAAATTGCACACTGCAACCTTACTGGACACACAATCTCTACAATACCCTTTTCAGTAAACACTACAGACTGTGCTAAAGAAACAAAAGCTCAATTTTGTCCTATATAGTTACTATCAGGTAACTTAATGCTTGCTTGCCTTTTATTGGTTGTGACCACAGACAGAAGCAGAATATTAAATAATAAATCACAAGTATTTGCGTGACAAGGAAGCACTCTCTTATTTTCTAATTTTCATGTTATTTATTGTCATTATTTATTTACTCACTATTGTCTTGTTACTTTAATCTAGAACAATAAAATAAATCAAGATTGTGTAGCTTCAAGACAGGATCACAGAAACATTACTGTTCATATTGTACTCAATAATAATGATAAAAAAAAAAACATTTACATAAAAAAAAAAAAAAAAAAAAAAAAAAATCAACCACTCAAACAAAAATAATGAGGATATAAAAACTTGGAAAGGCTAATCTTAAAAACTACTGTGTAAAATTTATTGATCGAAAGTTATTTCTTTATGTTCTTCTATTTCTTTCTCTCTTTTTTTTTTTTTTTTTTACAGAAAAAGCACATTCACAAATGTACAATAAGAAAGACTGAGCATGGTAAACATATTTACATCAACACTTTTCCATTTTTCACAAAGAACACTTAGCATTTAATATATATTTCATTCAACTCTGATACTTATACATTATCATCTCTTGATACAAAAGAGTATTTTTTACAATGCTCCCCCCCCTCCCCCTTCTTTTTCTTTTCTTTTTTCTATGGCATGTCAAAAACATCAAATGTCTTATTTAATAAATACATCTCTCTCGCATCCCTTATACAGGAAACCTTATAGTACAGGAAGGAAAACCAGCATATAAGTGGCCTAGATATATACACAATTCCTTTGTACTTGCTCTGATAAAACGTACCAGCAACAAGTTCGTCAAAAATACACGCGTTAATGCTTATTAAAAATAAACTTTCATCTAAAATTACTTTTTTTTCTTTTTTTCTTTTTTTGTGTCTTTAAATTTTGTGAGAATGCAAAGAGATCAAATTTACATACGATACTTTCCCACTGGCCAAGAATTGACACCTTTTACATCAGAAGACGACTAAGAATTCAGTGAATAACCGTATCCTTTTCAAGACCTGTACGTGGACTCATCATCAATGTCTCAACTCACAATAACGTGATCGTATAGACTGTAGTTTGAGTGTGTACGAAGAAGTAAATTCCAAAAATGATTTTCAAAGAGCAATGCCAGCCATCAGAGAGGCTGATGAGCCTTGTCATTATTTACAGAAATCTTAGATAAATATAATAAATGAGCAAGTAGTTGAGATACAAAAAAAAAAAAAAAAAAAAAAAAAAAAAATCACTCAGAGATATGTCACCTCCCCCCATCCTAAATTAAAAAAAAATGATATCAATCAAAAATTTCCATCACACCTTCTTAAATATCTTTTTTTTTCTTTTTTCTATTTCTTTTTTTTTTACATTAATTGCATTAGTGATAATTAGTGCCTACACGTCTTAATCTTCATCACTGGCAATCAAGCGGTAGTAACGGTCATTGTCCACCTCTACAGAAACAGGCTCTCGTCTCCGCTTGCTCATCAGCTTTGCACGTAGATCGAGCTTGTTCCTGGCATCGCCGCCCCTAGCTGGGCTGCGTACATCCAGCAGTCTGTCCTGGATGCTGACACCTCCACGGAACTTTCCACCCGACAGTCGGCTCCGCAGATCTGTGCTCGACCTCTGGCTCTGCTTCTTCTGCTCTGCATCCGCATACATCTTCATCCTTGGACTCTGAAGGGGGAAATGAGACATGAGACCATTAGACAGCCAGTGAGAATCTAAACAGCCATTCCTATTGAAACCATACAGGTTCTTCATGGTGCCCTTAAACCTAAGACTTTATTAAAATAACCACCTAACTTCTAAATACTTACCCTGAATGATAGCCCAACTTATCCTTAATAAGATCATTAATGAATCATGAAATCGATAACATGACTAACACTAAACCCATATCTACTGGACCACACCTACAGCCACCATAACAAACCGACCCAATGAGCCAGGTACGGTTATAGGCGTCGCGACCTGCTAGACCATGCCAAACACAGTGTTCCTTTGCATGCAGTGGACACTCAGGCTAAATGACAGGACTGTTCCAAGAGGCCTCAGGAATCAGTGACACAGAGATTTCTAATACAATCACAGTAATGGGTTAACCCAATGGTGACGGGTGAAGACGAAAAAAACAAAAAAAACTCTATGCTCTGGCAAACAATGGCGGCGCACCGGCTTTGAGTGCGTGAGTTCGGTACATCAGCCCGAATCACTGGCTCGCCACGCTTTGGCGTGCCGCCGTGGCATACAGCCGCACGCCAGCTTTCGAGCGGTTTGTTTTCATGCCTATTGGCGTCACCCGTCGTGAAGGGGTTAATGAAAGTGTGAATTACTTTTTTTTTCTTAAACACTTCCTTACCTTGATTTTCCTGTTCCAAGGAACTATATCATCACTATCATCACTTCCTTGCTTAGTATCCTCCTCCTGATAACTGCCCAACATCTCTTCATAGTCGCTGTCATCCTCACGTTTCCTCTTCTGGGATACAACTGTAAATACAGAGTAAACACATTTTTCAGCAATGTCAAAACATATAGAAAAAGATAATTGGCCATTATATTATAAAATATATATAATAAAATATTAAAAAATAATAGAAATAATAAAAAGGACACAAGTAAAAAAAAATAACAAAAACGCAATAAAAACAATGCAAAAAATCAATCAATCAGGCATAAAAATGCAACATTTCTACTAAGAACCTATTGTTAAGCAGAAAAATGGAAATAAACATAGAATATACAGGTCTTGTTTTCACCAAATAGCATCAAACAGAACCTGTACACAAACAAGACAAAAACAAAAACAAAATAAATAAATAGAAAATCAAAGGACGGGACAAGACATTCTTAAAACCCCGTCCTCTACCACCTTTGGTATGCTTCCGCAACAGCGCCTGATAATCAATTCTGTCCTCCTCCTGGCTCTCCTTACGACCCCAGTTCTGAGCCAGCATCCCCCATGGGTTCTTGGGGTTGTCCAGATCTATGCGCTTGTTCCGCTGCTCCTCCAGTTCTCGTCTCCTCTGGGCTTCTCGCATTCTTCGTCGCCCGCTCTCGCTTAAGAGCCCCTTGATGCCTAGAAATTTCAGAGGAAAATCTTATTGAGATTTTAGCCGAGATAAATGTGTTGAAATAAGCCATATTATGTTTTTTTCTGTGTCTCCATGAAACTGAGCAATAAGTCTACATACACACATACACACATATATACACACACACACACACACACACACACACACACACACACACAAAATAATAATAAATAAATAAATAAATACAATTGTGGAAACACAATGAAAATAATGATAAATGGGGGGGAAAAAAAAAAAAAAAACAAAACCACTCACCCCCATAGTTGGGATTCCCATGCTTGCGGTAATATTCAGACTTCCTCTCGGCACCTTCCTCCTTTTTGTCCTTGTTGCTGGCAAAGCGCAGGAGAATGGCTTTGGTCCGCGGGCAAGGCACCCCCAGCCGCCATCTGCCAGGAGGAACAGGGACCGCCACGTCTTCTGTGGTTATGCTGCTCTGTAATAGAAAGGAAGAGAAAAACTAATTATCCAATGCACTGTGTTAACTATTCCCCATTATGAAGGCCTCTTATACGGAACAATGGTTTTTGTGTTGGAACTTCTTCAAAAGGGGGTATGGAAGAGCGAGGGGGGGAGGGGGGGGCATGAGAAGGAAAGAAATAGAGAACTTTGTAATTTGTGGAATAATTAACTTATTAATTTATTATGTGACTTATTTTCTCAGATTCAAGAGCATACAGACAAGAAAAAAATGAAAAGGAATAGAGGAATTTGGTGAAAAAATACAAAAATGATGGCAGACCATAACATGCATCTTATTTTCCATTCTTTACACTGTGTAAAAGTTCAAAATCCAAAACAAGTTCCTATCCAAGCACAATCTACCCTAATAGGAACCAATGATCTAATCCAATCCAAAATCCTAGCAACACATCCGAGGCATCACTCCCATCCGAGCACAATCCACCCTCCTACTCCATCCGAGCTCAATCCCGGCAGAACCTCACCTCCTGCTCCCCTCCGACGACGACGACAGGGTCCTCGTCCATCTTCTCCACCTTGACTTTGACTTTTTTCTTCTTCTTTTTGGTCTTCTCCTTGTTGCCTTGCGCTTCGTCCTCTGTCGAGCTGGAGCTGCTGCTGCTACTGCTGCTGCTCCCGCTGCTGTTGCTACTGCTGCTGCTCGAGGAGGAACTGGAAGAGGAGCTCTCACCATCGCTCTCGCTGCTTGAGCTGCTGCTCGAACTGCTGCTGCTGGTACCTCCTCCGGTTTTGCTTTTGGCAGCTTTCTTCTTCTCTTTCTTCTCCTTTTTCACCTTCACCTTCTTTGGCTCCTCTCCCTCACTGTCCGTTGACATATCACGCGACTTGGGGAAAATGCGAGAGCATGGTTTATATAAGAATAATGATAATAATAACAATAGCAACAACAATAACAATAACAATAACAATAACAATAATAATACCAATAGTAACAAGAACAGTAGTAACAGCAATGGTAACAATTTAATTAGAAAAATAAAAATAATCATCAAAAATATAAACATCTAAACATACTCAGTATTAACAAAATCAATAATAAACACACCCATCACAATACTAGCACGAACAACACCAAAGGCACAAAAACCACATACT